ACAATATTGGTTTGCCTTTTTAGTTGTATGTACTTCAATTTCTTTTCAAACTATACCCTTATAAATAATTAGTATCAAGAACACATTGTTAGAATATTTTTATGTCACATGATGCAACGAACCACAACTCTTTTAATTATTGATCTTATACCTGTATTTCATAATTTCATGTTCTACTATAAAATGCCAAAGCCCTAATTGATATAGGCCCCCTGTAGTTTATGCTACTACTTTGCTTTCTTGTTTGGGAGCAACACTAAAGTTGATAAAAAAAATTAACTAAAGAAGAAGTAATTTGTTTTGAAGGGCCTAATTACCCTATGAAAATAGATTTATTCACTAAATAAAACCTTTCTTTCTTTCTCACTATACTCATTTCTCTTCCTCTTTTCCCTTCTATCTTCTACCATGCTCATGCTCTTACGTGACTCTAGACTTGTAACCCTATATCCCAATATAACTTGTAACCCCATATCCCAACATAGCTTCATATTGGACATACATATCTATGTTCAACCTGTCTATTTCTCAAATCATCTTTATATATATATATATATATATAAAGAATTGCCAATTCTATTTACTTGTAATTTCATGTTCTGTTTTTCAATTTTTTCTCCTGGTGTCTCACTGTTTTTTATCCTATTAAGATTTGGAACAATGTAAACATACATAAAATTTCTAAATTTATTGGTGATGTGTGATTTCACCTTCAAATTTCATAAAAGATAATACTGAGAATATAACATACAATTTGACTACGAATTACTATTACTATCAATAATATTGCAATATGAGAACTAACTAGGATTTGGAAATTTTCTATAATACCTGGATAAGAATAATAGTCAACCTTAGGATAAGAATACTCATAATAATTCACTATCAACATAACAATACACAAAAGTACTAGAATAACCAATATAGTTGTAAATTTAAAACATATTAAATTAGCAATTCACAAACATAATTAAGAACATTTATAATAATTCTCCATCAACATAACAACAGACAATACAACAAGTTTAACAATATTTCATTAAATGTAAAATATATTAGGTTAGCAATCCACAAACATAATTAAAAAAGATGGATGTCTATGAAATCAACACTAGCCTTCATGCTTCAATTCATCAACCTTAGGAGTTAATGTCCATTATTCCAAACCTATATATAATTTGGCACTATAACAAAACTCCTATAACATTCAGTTGTTAAAGCAATTAATAATAAAATATTTGAATTAACCACAACATAATTGTTTAGGATAGAACAAAAACTGAAAGCACATTATTAAAGCAATACTAACCTTAATTTAGTGTTTTTTACTTCTCTGGTATATTTTTTAAAGCCATTGATACTTCTTATTAATTTCTTCGATTAATGCCCACGTCTCGCTTTTATTCCTCATTGACAAGCACTCAGTAGTAAAATAATATAAGTCATCATAAAAAATAATTTCAAGTATGGAATGAATCTCTGTCATCACCTCTCCAAGTATGGAATGAATCTTTGTCATCACCTCACTAATACCACACCCTATCTTATTCCTACTATCATTCCTTACCGCACCCTATCTTATTCCTACTATCATTCCTGAAAGAAACACGATCAAGTAGTTGATCCCAATGTGAAAGTAATTAAGCTTCAAATCTATAAGGTTTTTTTTCTTTTCTTTCTACTATTCCCACCATATTGTTCTTTCTATTTCCATTGCTATTTGTGATATTGTTTTTCCCATATTAACTCTAGTAACTAAATTTGTCAACGTCTGTATAATTGAAAATAACATCCTCATCTGAATTACCATTTCCTTCCTTTAAATTTTCTTATTTATTAACATTAACATCTTGAGTGCTTTGATTCATAGCATCATCATCAAATAAAGATTCGCAAGATTGAGTCCAAGCATAATGTCCAATCGCTATAACATTGCTGAATATTCTATCAAACTTACTACAAAATGATGGTTTAATCCCAACATATCTAAACTTTTTTGACTATCTAATTTCCTATATAAAAAAAATATAAAACATCAAATGCATAAACCATAAAAAAACATGTTAAAGACATGACAAAGACAAATCTAGATAAAAAAAAGGTATTAATAACTAACCTGATTTTTTTTCTTCCACCACTTATCACTAGCACTAATAGTTTCAAGTTCACTATTCCATCTTACTCCTATTTCAGAAATTAATTTTTTTAAAATTCTTTGGTCTTTTTTTGCACCATACCATTTGTTTTTAAGTTGAGTTTTACTAAAAGCATGATTAATTTTTTCTTTGAAGACAACCATAATAAACTTCTATTTGGCCTTATTGAAATGAGCGCTTGACCTCATTCTTTTATTAATAGTGACAATACAAATATTAGAAAATGTATGCAACATCTCTCTAGTCTAAGATACTTTATCGGAGCTTTCAACACCTTCTATTGATTATTTTTTTTCTAACACAATTTATTAACCACAAAAGGACATATGATCATTTAAACTTTGTAGTAGTTATTAAAGATATTATATGCACGGGAATTCTTACAAAATTGATATTAAGAAATGTAGTAATGTTGCTATTAATGTAGTTGATTCAAATACCTATCCCTATTATGTTTTATTGTGTTTATTTATGCAATAGATATATACTAATGATAATGATTATTTAGGTACTAGTCTTTAAATAGGAATAAATGAATATTGAATATTGTGAAGGATGCAATGAGAAAATGAAATTTTTGAATCAAAGGCAAAAGGTAAGCAATTCTTCGACAACTTAAAAACACCACCTTTGAAAAATCCTGAGATGCACAATTATTATCCATGATTCTATTTAAATTTCAAAAGCAAATGAAATTCCAAGTTCATAAATTATTTTTTCACAATACAATATCACCAAATACAATGCCAAGCCACCTCAAAATAATATTTGATATAAATTCCAGCAAAGCTGATCGTTCAAACAAGTTCCATTTAGGAACACCAAACTTCTATCATTTTCAAACTCTCCAACATTTATACATCCAAATATTTCATATCATAAATTAGAAAAAATTACAAACAAATGAAGGTAATTCAATAAAAAGATAGATCCAGATATTTCATATCATAAACCAGAACAAATTGCAAATAACCGAAGGTAATTCAATGAAAAAATAGATGCAGATCTTTCATATCATAAACCAGAACAAATTGCAAACAACCAAAGATAATTCAATGAGAAGATTGATAAAAGGAAACTTTCATGATTTTTGTGACGCGAACTTTCATGATTTTTGTGATGTGTGCATCTGCACCCTTGACCTTTAGTTACCAGTGAGAAAACTATCAAGAAGCAACATTTAAAAATGATTTGATAAACAAAACACGTCCCAAACTTTCACTAGCTTGTTTGTACAAAAACATTGCAAACCTACCAGGTATTATAAAGTTTAGAACAAGATGATCTAACACATCAGGGTCTGCAGCTTTATCAAATGCACTGAAGCATATATGGAGCATAAGAAAAAAACAGTACGAGCTATAATTAGAGAAACTTTAGATCTAGACATTATGAAACAAGATTGAGTGGCTTTTGCTATAAATAATAGTTGAGTTCGTAGATCTGCAAAGAAAGAAAACAGATCTCTAAAGAAAAACATATGGTAGTCACATAACCAACTAGTTCAAAAACTAAACAGCAAAGTAGAAAAGAAAAACACTTGATAAATGAAAAAACTAGACAAGAAATGAAGGAATTAAATTACGAGATTTCTAGCGTAACTCAGGGAGGGTGGGTATGGGACGGTCATCGCAATTATGTAACTCAGGGTGGGTATGGGACGGTCATCGCAATTAGATTGAGCAAGCTTTTTCTATAAATAACAATTAAGTTTGTAGATCTGCAAAGAAGAAAAATAGATCTTCTAAGCAGAGTGATGGCTTAGAGATCAGGAGGTTATGCTGAAGGAAAAAACAAAGCTTTAGAGAAACAGGTTAAAGTGTTGTTTTTTTTATAAGAAGGATAGTTTTGTTCAATATTTGCAATGGTACCAAGCACCATTTATTTTCATTGTTCAGATGGTATCTTTTAACTAGCTTTTCACATGAAAAACAGGCAAATTTTGTTTTTCCATTACCTGCGACCATATCTCAATTTTAACATGGGATCCACAACTTAAGCATCAGTTTAATTTCTTATCAAACAATATCAAATTTTGTCGGGATAAACACAAAAGTTACCACTCTTCCAAGTACACACTTAGTAGAATGGTGATATAATAATTGCTGCCACACTTCTATAAAGATCACTTTTCATGAAGTTTTATATTGTCAGGCACCACCCCTACATATTCTTTATTTTCATAAGAATTGCAATTTGAAGCAGCAGATAAATTGCTAAGTAAGAGGGAAGACATGTTTGATCTGCTAAAAAATAACCTTATGGTAGCCTATCATAGAATGAAGGAGCTAGCTAACAATAAAAGGAGTGAAAAAGAATTCAGCGTTGGTGAATAGGTATACCTAAAAGTATACAAACATAAATCAATGGCTCACAATGTTTTACACAAGCTATCTGCTAAGTACTATGGACAAGTCAAAATTATTGAATGAATTGGGGCAGTGACTTACAAATTGAGTTTGCCCTCCTCTATCTCAATTTGTCTTGTTTTTCATGTTTCTCAGCTCCAGCGGAATCATGGAAATAAAAGGGTGTTTGAAGATTTACCCGTTATGACAAAAGAGGCAATCCTTCAACCACAAGCCGTGATAGACAAGAGAATTTTTAAGTTTTATCTCAAATTATAAGGTTCTCCAAGTTACTTGGAAGAATTCCAAGTAGGAACAATCTTAAGTAAGTTGTCTCCAGAAACCTTTTGTGATCATTGTGCATGATTTAGTTTGAGTCGGCAGCATTAGGAGGTTAAACTTTTTAAAGAAACAAAACTAAAAAGCTCGGAATTCGAATTAGCATTACAATGAATGGAACATTGTTACACACACAAATGGACCAGGTGATTGATTATGTTCTTTGCTTTTCCTTTCTTTTCTTTTTTTAATTTTAATAATGATTCCATTTGCTCCACTGTTATCATTGATTATAATTGTCTTTTCCTGCAACTTTTACTTTTTCTCCAGCACTTCTAGCACTGAATTTTGAAACCCAGCTTCTAAGCATTGATGTGAATATGAGTTGTTGTTCTACGATGTTAACTTGGCATTAGAAATCCATTTGCTCAACTGTTATTATTGATTATCGCTGTTTTTTCCAGCAGCTGTTACTTTTCTTTAGCAACTCCATCTCATGCTTAAATCCAAGTTACTAAGCATTAAGAGTTTCTGTTTTATATACTTTTCAATTAACACCTTCGTAATTATTGTGATTTCCTTTCTTATAACTTTCAAGAAATCTTAAATGGCAATCCTTGCTGCGCTCTAGCCCCCCTCCTTAAAAAAGGTTACCTTCACAAAACTTTGCACCTCGTGCTAGACTCAACTATGCCATCTTCATAGAACCTGTCAACTTCCTGTCAGTTTGCAATTCATTATAGAATGGAAAAGACCTGCATGCCGCGTCGAGAATGGAAGTTCCAAAGCATTTTTCAAAATTTCAACTTGAATGGTCTATACTGTTTTCTGACCAAATTGCTCATGTTTTCATGTCATATATCATTCTGTCTTTCTTTCCTCTTCAGAATTTCAAGTGTGGGCATGTGAGTGATGGCTTTATTTTCACCTCTTTCCTCTTCGGATCACTTTAGTTGTTGTGTTGTTGGTGAGAAAGGAGGGGTGGATGGTTTTTGCTGCTGTTTTTCATAGGTTGGCGCTCTCCTCTTTGTTGGGAATGTTGGCCTGAACTATCATAGGTTGGCGCTCCTCTCTTTGTTGGGAATGTTGGCCTGAACTACGGGTTGCTAGGGGCTGATTTCAGGGCTGCTGTGTTGTGACTGTTTTGGAGTCAAATTGAGGGCTGACTTCAGGGGAGGTTATGGCTCGTTTCTGTTCAGTGCTGGCGAGGAAGGCAGCTGGGGTTTGGTTCAGCTGTGGAGGGAATGGCAGCTGAGTTTTATTCGACACTAGTTCCAACTTGGTTGTTTATTTGCTGAACATTTTTTTTTATATAATCTTCTATTATTATATTTTGTGCGATATGCTGAAGCCATTGTTTCTATTTTTCTTCCCGTTACACCAGAACAGCATGCACAAAATATACTCTCACAACACTCCTTTATAAAAAAGTGAGGGAAGTAGATCGAACAGGCTCGTAAGAAAGAAAAGACTCTAGATCGAGTTTTTTGTAGACACATAATGCATACAATAATGTAAACACAAACTCGTAAGAAAGAAAAGACTCTAAATCCCTCAACGGGGAATTAGATCGAACAGGCTCGAGCACCCCTTTTATTCTAGCACTAGCTTATTATTATACTTCACAACACTCTTTTATAATCTGCTTCAATTCTTCACTTCACACTGCCACAAAAACAAAAAAAGAAAAAAGAAAAAAAATGTCAATATTTCTATATTATTGTGATTTATGAAATCGGGCTAACACAATAATTTCTAGTGGTATGCATGTACACATGAAGTATAGAATACGTACGTTTTGCAATCAGTGGCAGGACTGATTTTATAGGGAATGGATACACCACACTTTGAAGGGAGGCCAGCAGCCAAGCCATAGTTGAGGCCAGAGATCTTACCAGCCAAGGATTTCAAACAGTTGCAGACCCCTTGGCGGTCAGGGGTGGTCTTGGCTGCAGAATTAAGTGATTTCAACCCACTGCAGCAGGCTGGAGGCAAAGCCCCACCTTTCTGGAGGTAGCCTATACATTGTGCCAAGCTGCTTGACACCTGGCCACATGTGATGGCAGCTTCTGCTAGTGGTGCGCTAACAACCATCGCTACAAGCATGGCACAGGCCAGCTTCAAGCTCATTGAAGAAGCCATGATATGCCAGCAAAATATTACAACTGGAATTATAAGAAGATTTAGAGTATGGTTTAAGACTACTGCCCCTGGATGCGTCGAGGGAGTACAAGGTCCTTGAATAACGGTGTGTTTATATAGCGAAGTGTAAGAACTGCACACTGTGACTAGGTGGCATAGAAGGTTGGTTAGCGGATGGGATTCATTAATTCTCTGTTTCATCATCATGTCCTTGTCAAATTGGCTTATAGTTGGGGAACTTGAACATTTAGCGCTCTCAACATCTGAAAACGTTGTTTTGGAGGCAGATGACACCTGTCAGGAAAGAATATTTTGGAGAATACCTCCAGAATTTATTAACTACCAGGTGGTGCAGTGCACATCACGAAGGAAGGCCTGTCATTCGTAACATCCCAGGAACAGTTGTCAGATGTCTCATCCTATACCGTTCCTCCCCAAGGGGTTTAAGAGATTTGGAGTTTGAGCCTTTCCCTTGATAGAAGTTTGGAGATCAATTAACAATATTCTGCCACTCAAATATCATCTAGAAAATTTTCCATTATAAAAAGGTTTGACAATATAAACAAAGTGGACTTTAATCAGACGGATAAATATCAAATCTTTCATTAAAAAAGAATAATAATTTTCCACCATAAAAAGGTTTGACAATATAAACAAGAGTTGATGGTCAATTTTAATCAGACGGATAAATATCAAATCTTTCATTAAAAAAGAATAATAATCCAGTTGATGCCAAACTAAGTTCAGGCTCTTCTCCAGTTTCTTTTGTACAAAAATTCAATGCACCAATTCCCCTACCGATGACCTAGAACCTCCACCAAGAAGAAGGTAAGCACTTCCTCCGACTCAAAATTTTTGGTGTTGCAAGAGATTTCAGCAGATACCATTTTACAAGAAAACTATGCTACAGATTAGAACTCTGAGAAGCACTAAGAAGCTAGTAGAACCGAGGTTGTATAGATCTCTGACAGAAGGAGCTGAACTCGTGGAATTCATTGATGGGGCTGTAATGTTTACCGTGGTTCCATTCATCCTGCCAGTGCTGCATGCAAGTTCAATTAAACATGAGAAAACGAGGCTTTACATGGTAGAAGCCAACTTAATTGATTACTTGTAAAAAAAGAAAATCTAAAAATAACTAGCATTCAAATGCAAATGACTGAAAAATAGGCAGGACTGGTTATGCGGCCATACCTTCCTGGGAACACACAAGTGCCATGACCTGCCATAGAATCAAATGGGACATTAAAACTTCAGAAACCGTTTTCTTGTGCAACATGACACGAACATGGACTAAAAAATCAACAAACAGTAACATAACAAACACAAAAGAACAAATGTGGATTGTGTTAAAATAAGCACAATTTTTATTTTTTTTATTAACGTGGGTGTCCGTTCAAATGCAAATGACTGAAAAATAGGCAGGACTGGTTATGCGGCCATACCTTCCTGGGAACACACAAGTGCCATGACCTGCCATAGAATCAAATGGGACATTAAAACTTCAGAAACCGTTTTCTTGTGCAACATGACACGAACATGGACTAAAAAATCAACAAACAGTAACATAACAAACACAAAAGAACAAATGTGGATTGTGTTAAAATAAGCACAATTTTTATTTTTTTTATTAACGTGGGTGTCCGGGTCAGCTTGCGCGCACCACGACTAATCCCACGGGCCCTGAAGTTAACGACCATGTAAGCCTCCAGTGACCATCATATAAACAACCAAGGATTCGAATCTGAGACCACAGAGGGAACAAACCCCTTGATCCCAAGCTCTTACCACTTGACCACCACCTAGATAGTTAAGTAAAGCACAATCTTACTTGGATTTGTAGTGGTGATAGCAGCCACACCATTGAAGTCACATGTCCCAGGAGCCTTCCCCATCTGATTATAGTAACTGTTAAATGCATAAGTTGCATGCGCAATCACATTGTCTGGTTGGTAACATGGCTCTCCCTGCAACATAGCGGAGCAATCAACCTTGCCAGGTCCACATGCCCAATCCAAAGCAGCTTGCAGCATCTTTGGATCAGCACCTTGCTTTGCAGTACAGTATGTTTGGTTTGTAGTGTCATTTGCTAACACTAAGCCTGACCCAGTCAGATGCAATATGTAAACAGGCTCCCCATTTGCATTAAACAATCCCCAATTCTTCTCTGAGACTGGACCGGGTTTCAAATCTTCATTATAAAGCTCATAAATGTATGTACTAACAGCAATTCCAGGGTGTTTGGGAGTTCCAGTTTTGTTCAGCACATGCCTTATCAAATTACTGTTGTAAGTGTTGGCATTATCTAGAGTTGCATCCGGCTCATTAGAATCACCTTTTGATGGCCAGCCAGATTCAGTAACCATAACAGGAACGTTAGTAAAATTGAGGAAATCCATGGCAAAGTAAGCTGCATCAATCATAGCATCAAAGACATTGGAATAGTGAACAAGTGTGTTAGCATCGACAGCTTCCTTGTTTGGAGCAAGAGGCTTCAAGAGTGCATAATCTAATGGAATTACACCATTTGATTGCATGTAGTCATAGTAGGGGTATATATTGAGCATCAAGTGTGACCCTGTCGACTGCAAGAAATTGACCATGGGAATCAAAACAGGATTCCATGTTTTGTTAAAGAAGGCTTGGGATGGTGGGAAGGAATCAAGGATAATAGAGGAAGAAAGGGGTGTTGAAACTTTGATTTGGCGATCCAGGTTGGATGCAACAAGGGCTGATTGAATGAACTTCATGGCATTGACAAGGACTGACGCTGCATTGGGAACGGCTGTGAAAACCTCAGAACCTACACAAATGGCTGTGATGTTTGTAGCTGGGTAATGAGCTACAATATTATGCGAAACCCAATTAGCAGCAGTTGAATTCGATTGACCAATTCCTAGAAGCTGTTCATTGGGAACAGAGACCATGACCTGAATGCCTGTATTTGCAAGTGCAACTAGCATGCCACGGTCAGCATCATAGAGCCGGACATGCCAGATTTGCTGAGCCTTGAGGAGGGCTACTACTTGAGTTGGGTGAGGCATGTCAGAAAGGTCTGTTCCTATGTTAACACCAATGAATGCTTCTGCAAGAAAGATAACACAAATATTGTAATACGCATCCATGTCAAACATGGATCACCCAACATGTGGAAAAATGCAAATATCACTTGAAGGGATAACAGTGCAATACAAGCTCATAAATCAATAGATAAGATGATCCAATACTGAAAATGTAAGCTAATGAGATGGGGACTGGTAAAATTCAATTCAATTAACTAGCCCGTGCTTAGCTTTACAATGAAAGAGAATTGGTGTCATCTAAGACAAACAAGCATGCAACTACTTGATTGAAGAACAGCATATGCCAAAAAGTTAATTAAAAAAGAGAACAATACAAAAGAAACTTATAAAGTTGGGGGCCCAGATCAGAGTTAAAATGACAAAACATGCAGATGGAACTTTGCGAGACAACCATTTTGGCTAAAAGCTAGAATGTACCCCATGAATTGGCCATTTTGAACTTTTAGTGATAGTGGTTTGCTTCTTAATGCTCGAGTGACTTACATTTTTCTCCACCAGAAATGCCCTCTTAACTCTTTTGGCAACATGAAAATGGCCACACTTTTTACTCTTGTCCTGCTAGAAAGGCATCATCACTTGTATCCTTATACAAGGAAACAGCCAGCACTTTTTAGCATCAACATTTTTTTCTTGACCTCTTAGAGAGGTCGCTAAATGTAGGGCCTCAGTATAAACATACCTTATTAGACAAAGTTCCTAGAGCAAACTACAAGTCACTTAAGTATATATAAATAAACTTCTGTTACTTATACTTTTTCCACTTGCACCGTCATGCGAAGCAGTTGGAAATCAGTGAGAAAGAAAGTTCTAAGATAATGCATCTTTGTTTAAGCTAATTCCACCATCTTCTGGTCTTCTTATTCTCAATGGGATTTGCAGCCCTACCATCTACATAAACACTTCTCAATATCTAAAAATAAAAACCCTTGTTCTACCGGAAACCTGCATTGCCTTAGTAATAACTAATATAGGAAGAAATTGTCTTAAACAGTAGACAACATCCAAATAATAAGTGGTCTTATTTGAAACTTTGCTTTGCTCGCATGGCTTCATTCAAAGGTTTGTCATCCTATTAGGCACCATAAAACCTTATTATTGTTTGACCTCGGTAGTTTGATCAATTGATACCTGGTTTCTGATCTCATGCTTCATTACTAGTATGTTTAGTTTAAAAGGGTGGGAAAAAATCAGCTAATAGAAAACTCCAATAACTATAATAATCAGTGGGGATGCTTCCCACCACAAAGACAACTAATAACTATAATAATCTCCCAAAGGCCACTTGTCAAATTAGTGGGGATGCTTCCCACCACAAAGACAAACAAGTAAAGCATAGGAATGGGATTGTTCTTTGCTTTTGGAGTTCTTGTATACTTTGCTGTGAAAAGAAAGAGAACTGGAGTAATTGTAAATTGCAAGGCTCTAGACATACAGGCATATATGTATGTATGGTGTTGATGTTATCAATGTAATGGTTTCGTAGACACAGAAAACAAACACGAGTTTGTTTACAAATGCATACACAAATTCTTAGTGGGGATGGACTTTTGCAGAACACATATTTAAGATACTTGAATGAATCATGGATGACAGAGAAAGGTTGTAAAGGGAGGAAGGGATAAAACAAAAAAGAAAAGAATATAGCATTGGTAGTTACTTTCAACCCATGCCTGACCCAGATTTCAAGTCCTAGAAAGGGGACTTTAATTCTCTCAACTTTGGCCACCATCTGCCCTGCCAAGGCAGAACCTATCCCTACACCATGAAGCAAGGGGGTAGAAAATAATGAAACAGCTTGTTAGCTGGAGGACAATGAGGTAGCCTGTTAGAAATTAGAATGTTACCATATTTCCTTACTAATTCATTCAATTATGAAGAAGGAGGTGGGCATTTAGGATGATAATGAATAAAGTCAGTGCCAAGTTTTCATGGTCATGCTTATATACAGTAGCAAGGACCCAGGAGGGAAACAAAATCTATAACCGGCTGGCCTCCACAATATACAGACAT